TTTACAGACTAGAAGTTTTTATTTGAATAAATGTTGATGTGATTTCAGCTCCTGCATATGAAGAGCAACAAGTATTTGACGGTGAATAAGCGTCTCCCAGCATTGCTGGAGAAGAACGCAATGCGTGTCACTCTTGATGGGACGGGGAATGAGGGATCTTGGCTTTTCATCCAACCTTTCTGGAAGCTCAGAGCCAATGGAGACAATGTAATTTCACGCACGCATATGCAAGCATACAAGAAACTCAAAGTCACAGTTTGAACAAGCTTATAAGTGTAAATCGCATGAAACTTGCCTGAGTCATATTTTACGCTAAAATCAGATTAAAAACAAGAAATTAGCTTAAAGTACTTACTTGAAGTAAAATAAACATTAACTGAAATAAAAGATAAAAAAAACTTTTTATTTCAGCTAGTTTCCAAGGCAAAATTGCCCAATTTAATTTAGTTTAACTTAATATATAATAAAATAACTAAAACTGATATAAAAAGCTATATAGACATGAAATAAAAAAAACCCAACAAAATTATAGAAATTTTTACCAAATTTAAAAAGGAAAATATGAAATACAAAAATAAAAACTCAAAATATTAATAAAAACTACAATAGTATTGCTATGATACTAAAATAACTCTGCTTCCCTCCCATAGCTTTTGTGACTTATGTGAAAATAAACAAATTATACAAATAATGCACAATTGTAAAATATAAATGACTTGAATCAAGTATTTACATTATGCAGTATTTGTTTCATTTGTTCTGAATTTATTAACATTTATTACCGTAATACATTTAAAAAATACTGTATTAAAGATAATTAAATGAAAATCATAGAAAATAACATCCGAATGCCTTTTATGTCACAATGTAGAAAATCTATTTTTTAAACTAGCTCCGTTTTCTGTATATAAAATGATTTTGACATTTATTTATTTTGATTTTGGGCTGCAGTATAACCTTGCATGTTTTTATGAGATTCACCTTTATACCTATATTCACTTTGTACCTATATACACATACACCTA